GAAAAGAAAGCCTATTTAACAAATAATGCTGGGAAAACTGGATAACAATATGTAGAAGATTAAAACTAGATCCTTGTGTTTCACCCTGTACCCAAATCAACTCAAAGTGAAACAAAGACCTTAATATCAGCCCTGAAACTTTGAAACAACTCCAGGAAGCAGTAGGAAATACACTGGAACAGATAGGTATAAGGAACAACTTCCCAAATAGAGCACAAAAGTATCAGAATCTAAGAGAAATAATGAACAAATGGGAGAACATCAAACTAAATAGCTTCTGCACAGAAAAAGAAACAGTCACAAGACTCAAGGGGCAGCCCACAGAATGGGAAGAAAAAGTTTGCCAGCTACTTATCTGATAAGGACTAATATCCAGAATCTAGAGGGAACTCAAAAAAACTGAGTCCCCAAAAGAATCAACACCCCAATGAAGAAATGGGCACATGAGAATTCTCGAAGAAAGAGGTACAAATGGCCAGTAAGTACATAAAAAGTGTTCAACTTCCCTTCATATAAAATAATTGCAAACCAAAACAACACTTAAATGACATTTTACCCCCACTAGAATGGCCACAAGTAAGGGAAATAACAACAATAAACACTGGTGAGGATTTGGTGAAACAGGAACCCTTATACACTGCTGGTGATAATGCAAATTAGTACAACCACTCTGGAAAACAGTATGGAGATTTCTCAAAAACTAGAGATAAAACTGACATATGATCCAGCGATTCTGATACTGGGAATCTCACCAAAGAAATGTAAGACAGGAAACAGTAGTGACACATGTACGTCAATGTTCATTGCAGCACTACTCACAATAGCCAAGCTTTTAAAACAACCAGGGTGCCCTACAGCAGATGAATGGATCAAGAAATGTAGTACATATACACAGTGGACTATTACTCAGCCAAAAGGAATATTGGTATGTGGTTTGAAGGTAAATGGATGTAACTGGAGGACATCATGTTACGTGAAATAAGCCAGGCTCAGAAACAGAAAGGCCACACATTTGTATTGTTAATGTTTTATTTTTCTCAATGTTTCTTAGAATAATGATTCCCAACATTTTAAGGGGCAATAAATGAGACAAAATTTTCTGTCTGGAGATTGGACTTGTTTGCACAAGTGAAGTTTATGACTGAATGTGTTGAGCCTCAAGTGAATACTTGTCAAACAATTGTTGTGGGACTGCCACTTAAGTGATATGCAAAGGATAGCATAATTTTTAGAAGGATAGTTTTAATAATAAATTAACAAATTTAATCATGTCTCTCTCAGGTAATGCTGTATAACTGTAAAAGAATTTGAAGTAAATGTATAGAATATGCAGAAAAACTCAAAACCACTTGTGAATACAAAATAGTGTATTTCAGGGTAATAGGTTTTCTACTTACAGGAACTTAGGTACTCTTTATGTAAATTCATAAGAAAACTGTTCATAGATACATAACCCAATACTTATATGAAAATATTGACAGGAAAATTCACTTACTAAACTTCTAACCACAATCGGAAATAAGCAGTAGAATCAAATAATGCTGATATACACAAAAATTAAGTTCCTAAATGCCCTAAATAATTCATGGCAGTATTTTTCAACTGTGGTACAATAACTTCACCCACAGATTTCAGATGAAACTTTTTATGCTTTGAAGCTATGGTATTTATAGATTGTAAATACCCACCTATGAATTTTAAAAGATAGTATAATATATATTTCTTTCAAAAAGCAGAGAAGGGTAATCAGTTGTCCTGCCCAGATTGTTTATATCATTTGTATAGTTTTCACTTTTGCATTTTGGCCCTTATTACACAGTAGCAGTTCAAAGAAAATGATGAACTGAAATTGCTCTCTGGTAGCTCAAGTAAGAGTGCTGAAGTCTGTATGTCAAGAAGTTCTGCTAAGAAAATTATTTAAGTAGGCATGAGAAGATTACCTTCCAAACCAGAGCTGTGTGGCTTTCTCTGGAGCACAAATCTTCATCAGCAAAGCAACAGAGTTTATGACCACAAACTATAAAGCATTAAGCCTGGTGCTGGAGGCTCACATCTGTAATCCTAACTACTCAGGAGGCAGAGGTCAGGAGGGTCACAGTTTCAAGCCAGCCGAGCAGATAGTTTGTGAAACCCTATATCAAAAAAACCCACCACAAAAAAATGGCTGGTGTAGTGGCTTCAGGGGTAGGCCATTAGTTCAAGCCCCAGTACCACAGAAAATAAAGCATTAACACCCAGGGTACTATAGAGATCATGCTAACCAGTGAAACAGCCTAGATAATTTTTCACCTGATAGAAATAAACCTGTACTAAATAACAAATTTCAAAGGAATTTCTTAACATTCCTTTATGTTTCATCATTGGCAGTATTAGTGTACACTCAAGACACATTTGTTGCTAATGATAGTTTAAGATTATGTGGATAGTTTGAAGTTCACCTAAGCCAAAGCTAGAGTCATTATTTGAATGAGCACTTATATCCATCAAGAAGGAAAATTAGAAAACAGAAAATAATGGAAACATCTTGGGTTGCTGCAAGCAACAAGATTTTCTGATTAATAAGTTTCAGTTTTAATTTAGGGTTCCAAGAACTGACTTCCAGCTGCTACAGATTGTTACAAATATTTTTAAAATCAAGGAGATTTGTACCATTGTTATAAAGGGAGGAATATTTGACTGTTTCTTAATTTGATTTCAGAAAATTATTTTGATTAAAGAAGGAAAGTTATTTATTCTACTCTCATTCTTCAAAGAATACAATGTGTTGTACAGTGATCAGGGGTGAGTAATCTCTAATGTTCTCAGTCTTCTAACATTGAGTGCCTCCTTAGAGTCTCTCGAAATTTGTGTTTTGGGAGATCAATAACACAGAAATTAACAATGCAAGATTTCTAAGAAGACTGATTTGATAACAACTGTGAAATATTGCTACAGGTTTGTGGGTTTGAAGTATGAATGCTTCATTGTGAACATGTGAATTTAACACACACACATATCTATATCTATCTCTGTCTCTCACACTCTCTCTCTTTATATATATATATGTATACATATACAGTGGCAGTTTGCTTCCATAAGCAAAAATCAAAAAGTATCAAAGTAACATAGAAATGTATAATCTAACAATCACAAAATAACTTCTAGGCTTCTCAAGTGGTCCAGAACTGTAGCACAATCTTGTCTGTCTATTTCTGTCCATTCCTGGTCACAGTGCTAAGGAACTTGCTCATCTTGGTGATCATCAGATGTGACTCTCACCTCCACTCTTCTTACTCTCCATCCTGTCATTGGCTGATACCAGTTTCATATCTAACATAGTCACAAAGATGACTTTGCATATCCAAACTCACAGGATAGTCATCTCCTATGTCAGCTGCCTAGTGAATTCTACTGTTTTCTCTTTTTGAAGTATGTGTGGTATGCTTCTGTCCATTGGGCTATGCTTTGCCAAGGTCATCTGTCAACCGCTGCGTGTCGGTAGTTATTGTTCACAACGGCCTCTGTGGCTTCTGCGTTTTGAGGACTTTGGAGACCGTTGGACTCCTAGCTTCACAATTCATTTATTTTACAATTTACCAACTTAAAAGAGGTAGACATTGATGTTTTAATATGACTCTTCTCAGGTCATTAATCTTTTGTTTTGACATCTTAATCAGTATCATAATTGAGTGTTTTTATGACACAATGTAAGGATTTCTTCCCTTTTTGTGGATCTGGTCTTCTTACTATATTTGTATTTCTCCATTCTCATAATTCCATCATAAGCTGTAAAAAAGTTGTATTCACCCCCTTCATCATTCAACTTGATATATGGTAAGAAATTATTTAAATGTCATAATGTGCCATCAGCACAATAATGAAAAGAGAAACAATACAATAAAAAGAATAAATATTTTTAAAAATAAAAAATAAACTGTCTTATATAAATGGTTCACCAATGAGTCTTACCTATAAGTTGTTTCATACTTTTTGAAACAAGCCAGGGAATGTGCCTTGATTTAGCTGTATCACATTCTTTCAGAAACTGGACTCCATCATGAAGATGATGATTATAGTTGTAGTCATAGCATGAACCCTTACAGGAGGCTACCTGTATGTCAGGCAATGAGCACTGTATTCTATATAAATTGCTTCATATTTTATTCATCACCCTTTTAAATACCTCCGTTATTATTTTTTACAAATTTTTATAAGGACATACTTGTTATACAGGGGGGTTTCATAGTGACAATTCCAGTTAGACTTATACTGTACATTAATTCCATGGCCCCCATCATATCTTCTCCTCAACCCCCTCCCTTCCCACTTAAAGGATTTGAAAGAGGTTTCTTAGTCCTGTATCATATAGATATATGAAGTCCATCAACCATATATCTTCACCTTAGTCTCCTTCATTCACCCTTCCCCCTCCCATTACAACCTCCCCACTGTACTTATTTTATAGTATTGTTTTTCATTAATATTTAACTTGATATTGAAAGGGCTTTCTCACTGTATGCCCACTGTGGGTATACTTTACTTTGGTCTGTTCAGATCCTTCCATTACTCTCTCTTACCCCTTTACCTCCCATGCCTTATTTTCAACAGCTTTCAATACACATCTTTTTTTTTTTCTTTCATTTTTCTTTTATTATTCATATGTGCATACAAGGCTTGGGTCATTTCTCCCCCCTGCCCTCACCCCCTCCCTTACCACCCACTCTGCCCCCTCCCTCTCCCCCCCTCAATACCCAGCAGAAACTATTTTGCCCTTATTTCTAATTTTGTTGTAGAGAGAGTATAAGCAATAATAGGAAGGAACAAGGGTTTTTGCTGGTTGAGATAAGGATAGCTATACAGGGCATTGACTCACATTGATTTCGTGTGCGTGGGTGTTACCTTCTAGGTTAATTCTTTTTGATCTAACCTTTTCTCTAGTACCTGTTCCCCTTTTCCTATTGGCCTCAGTTGCTTTAAGGTATCTGCTTTAGTTTCTCTGCATTAAGGGCAACAAATGCTAGCTAGGTTTTTAGGTGTATACTTCCCACCTGATGATGGATCCTGAGAATGGAAGAAATAATTTTGTAATATGAGAAAAGAATTCCTGAGGGTGGTAGTAAACCATATATTATGCCTATAAAATACATAAATATCTTATTGGAAAAGGTGTTTGAACAAGAAAGACTAACTAAATGAGAAGGGTCACAGAAGAAATTAGAAATTTCCACATCTTTAAATTTGGTAATTTGTATTGCAACCAAATTGTGCATCAGGGCTTCCAAAATACTGACTGAAAATGATGCCAAAGCTAAGAAGACACAAAGGCGAGGGTTCATAATGACTGAGTAATGTAGGGGGTGACAGATGGCCATATATCTGTCATAGGCCATCACTGTCAGAAGCATATCATCCATACATATAAAAATCAGAAAAAAAGACATCTGTGTCAGGAAGCCCACATAGGAGATGACTCTGCTCTGAGTTAGAATATCCACAATCATCTTGGGGATAGTGGTAGAGATTGAACCAATATCAGCCAATGACAGATTGGAGAGGAAGAAGTACATTGGGGTGTAGAGATGGGAGTCAGAGCTGACAGCCAATATGATGAGAAGGTTCCCAAGCACTGTGATCAGATACATGGACAGGAACAGTCCAAACAGGACAGGCTGCAGTTCTGGATCATCTAAGAGTCCCATGAAATGGAATTCTGAAACACTTGTTTGGTTTTCTTCTCCTAATTGTGTAGGACACCTGTGAAATATAGAAGCAAGTGGTGAAATGGAAACATATAACCAGGGACACTGTCCTCTGTATCACTTCTTTTCCCAGGCTCATCTCAATCTCCTGGTATACAGGGATCTTTCTGGCATAGAAATTTGGACTACAGGTCCACAATTGTGGCTGTCTTCATACATAATGAATTCACATTTCACAAGTGGTGTTCCATGCACCTTCACCAATGTTTCAAATTAGAGAGACACAATCTTGATAAATTCTTTTCATAATTGTTTTGTCTCATTCTATACACACTTACTCAAAGACTCATCACTAAACAATATTATAAAACCAAAAATATTATAGATAACAAGTCCATGTTTACAGTTAAAAAGCTTGCTGTTCAGAGAAATTAGGATAAGAAATATCCTTATATTAACAATAAAAATTAAACTTAAGAAAATCATGAAGCAAGCAGAGAAAATGCTGCAAATTCCTTTGAATCACAAAGTACTTTGAGTATAATAAGATCCAGAACTATATAATCTAAGACTAAACTAACTGCTACAGTTCATAATTGGAATCCATTTCCTATTCCAGATTTCAATTATTTGTCATCATTCCTGAGATTATTGATTTCCTCCAGCAAGTAATTAACTATACAGGGAAATATTTATATTTGAAAACTTATTCAGTAGCCTGCTGCCAGTGGCTCACACCTGTTATCATAGCTCATTTGTAGGCAGAGATCAGGATGGTATTAATTCAAAGCCAACCCAGGCAAGTAGTTCACAAGATTCTATATTAAAAATATCAACTATAAAAAAGGGCTGGAAGAGTGGCTTAAGTGGTAGAGTGCCTCCCTCGAAAGCGTGATGCCCTAAGTTCAAATCCCAGTAGTGCCAAAAACATTTGAACAAGGAAATAAAAATAAAAAAAATCCTCATTCAACATACTACTCCAATGCTTGGTTTTGATAAACTACAATTCTGAGAATTATGGTTCAGTTAAGAGAACATCACTGATATCAGATCAGAATGGTGGAATTAGTGGACACTAGACCTGTCAATGATTTAAAAATATTGAAATGATAACAAACATTTAAATTTTATAGAATTTTACCAACCCCATAAAAGTCTGATGGACAAAACAACTCTTTTTATCTCTTTTTTTTACAATATTCTAAAGTCAACTATTGACAGTGCTTCAATGTTTTTTTGTTAATATAAGCCCATTCATTTCTAGATGAAAATTTTAGAAACAAAGAAGGCCGTGATCTCAGGTTTTATTATCAACCACTTTATGAGTAACTAAGAGATTTTTACATAAATCATTCCAACATATGAACTACAGTTCCTTGCTTCAGCTATGTGAATGCAAATTGGGTTATAATTAGGGTGTCATTGTAATTTAAATGAGATAAAATTTGAATCATAGAACATATTTTAAATAAACATTGACAGATTCCTCATTTGAGAAATGGAATATCAATTAACCGACTAACAGGATTATAACAAAACTTTAGTGAAAATACTATTAAATTGCTTAATTTGCATTTGTCAGTCTCATTCATGAATATTCTTATTCATTCATGAATATATCCATCTTTGTAAATATTAACATATTTGGAAAACAGAACATGTGTTCAATTTCTTTGTGGTAACACAGGATGAAGGGGAGGACACTAATGCGAGGGGAGGATAAAAGAGAGAGTAAATGAGGGTGAATATGGTTGATGAATTTTCTAAAGATATATGAACATGGAACATTGAAACCTACTGAAATTACCTCTTTAAGAAGGGGAATAGGTAAGTGGGAGAATAAGGGAGGATATAAATAATTCAGGATACAAAATATGCATATATGGAAAAGTTGAAATGAACCCCCCTTGTATAATTTTCATATATTAGCAAAATATTTTTACAATGAAGGACAGGAAATTAAAACATTTCCAGTCTGAGGGTCAGTACCAGAAGGAGGGTGCAGGGCATTTATGTACAAAAAAAGAGCAATGAAATCTGTTGAAGGAGTTCTAAGAAGAGTGGGAAAGGAGATAAAGGAGAAAGATGGAAAAGGTGAATCTAATTAAGATATATTGTAAGCACAAATTTAAATGTCACAATGACCCACCTTACAACTAAAATATGCTAATAAAAAATTTAAAAAATCAAAATTTATGATGGCATTTAATAAACCTGGATTGAGGACAACTGCCTTAGAATGTATCCTGCCATTGAGTCATAGTGCATTATAATTACAAGTTATTATTGTCAATAAAACTGAACAACAATATTATCAGGTAAATGTTGATATGTTTCATAATATTTAATGAAGATTTTAAAAGTAGAATATAATTGTCATAAAGGTTTGATTTCAGTCATAGTCCATTATATTCTTTATGGCAATAGCACACAGAAACTTTCTTGTACAATTAATAAATGCTTATGAAATTTAGAAAAGATCTTGAATTATCGGTGAAATTCAAGTTACTGGTATCTCACTATAATTTCATCTTGTGCATATACATCCCCCAAAGGTAGCAATTGTCAGATATTTGATGACTATGTTTTCCTGACAAAATGTACATGACTATGGATTTGCATATCCATGTAGAATTTCTTAAGAACTTACCCTAAAAGTACTAAAAGATCATCTAAGTACTACATATCATAATATGTATTACCCTGAAATATACTAGCTTATATTAGCAAGAGGTTTTATACCTCTCTGTGAGGTACATCCATCCACTTAAAATTCTTTTATTCGCATCATTACCGAGAGAGGAACAAGTATTTAGCTTACAAGTTTATTATGAAAATTCTCTCAATAACGTGCCTTTTTTCATGTCACACAAGTGATATTTTCTATATAACATATCAAGTCAAATAAAACTCTATTTTCCAACACATAATGTTATATTAATCACCTACATTTGATTCCCCTACAAAAGTCAATCATTAACCCCAACCTCCTCATATTCTTGAGATATGTCTTTATAATATGCCATATTATAAATTATTGGACATTATTATGTCCAATAATAATGCCTTTATAACAACAAACAAATTTCATCTCATACTGGAGAGGAGAGTGCACTTAGTTGGTTGTCATAAATTCTCCCTGGCTGTGCTTTGTCACTCCCTGCTACAAAATTCAGAATAAATGTACATCTCTCCTCTCTATGCTCATACCACTTTGTGGAAATAGGGAAAATTACACTTACCTACATAACATGTGTAGTGCCCAGGAGAAGTCTAGAACTTTATAAATATTGGTAGTGATTGTCTTAAAGAATTTCTTAGTTGTGGAAACAGTGATTTTGTTTATGAACACAGTTGTCAACCTTCACAGTAATCTGCAATAGTCTGACACCATATAATAAAATAGATTCAAAATGAACTTAGGACATTTATGTAAAACCTAAAACATGAAAATCTTTGAGGAAATATGGGGAAACACTTCAAGAGATGAGTATAGACAAGGACATTTTTGTAATATGCTGAACTTCTCAGGAAATAAGAGCAAAAATTGATAAATTGGAGAGTTTCTGTATAACAAAAGAAACAATCGATAGAGTGAAGACATTGCTTACATATTGGGAAAAATATTTCTGAGATATTGATCTTTATGGAAGGTTAATGTGTAGAATATATAAACAACTTAAATAAATAATAAAAATAGCAAATAATCTAGATAAATGAACAAGTGAACTGAACAAACACTTTTCAGATGAAGAAGAACAAACAACCAATAAATACTCAATGTCCTTAAATGCAGAGAAACAAATCAAAACTACAATGAGGAATACATGTAGCAGTGCACCCTGTGGTCCCTGCTGCTATCAATGGAGAGGTAGAGGTTTCAAGTCTGAAGCCAGACCAAGAAAAAGTATGAAAATGTATATGAAAAATAAATGAAAGGAAAACTAGAACAAAAAAGTTTTTGATGTGTCTCATGGTATAGTGCTTGCCAAGCATGAGGCCCTGAGATCAAACCACAGTACTGCAGTACTGAATAAAAACTGCATTAGAAAAACCCATCGAGAATATAAATATCAATAAATGCTGGTAAGGATGTGTAGAGAAAGAACTCTTATTTCTTGCTAGTGGAGATATAAATTAGTCTAGCCACTATGGAGATCAGAATGCAGATTCCTTAAATTTAAACATAGAACTCCCATATGATTCAGCCACAGCACTTCTGTGTTTATTCCCAAATGAACCAGTCAGCTTACAGTAGAAATAGCTGCACATCCCTGTTTATCCCAGCAGCATTCAGGAAACCGAAATATGGAATCATCCTAAATGCCCACCAGTTGACAAATAAATGAAGAAAATATGGTATACATAACACAGTGGAGTCTTCATCAGCTTTCAGGAGCAATGAAATTGTGACGTTTTTCTGGAAATGCATGAAACTGAAAGGTCATCATGTTAAATAAAAGAAGCCAGTCACACAATGACAAATATTGCATGTTTTCTTCCATTTGTTGGTTTGGAAAAAACAAACAAAGTCATGAAAATAGAGATTGGACTGCTAAGAAGTTTGAAGATAAAGGAAAAAAGAATTAGGATAGGAGAATAAAAAGAAGAAATGGAAGATTGAATATGATCAAAGTACATCTTATGCATACATGGAAATGTAATAATGAAACCCCTTACTAAGTACAGTTAATAGACTCCAATAAGATAGTGTAAATATCTAAAACGTGTCTTAGCTCAAGTCATAGGTTTTATGTGCTTTGTTAAGTTTGTGCCAACAACTTTGTTTCACCCATGCAAATCTGCACTATGTTTAGGAATAATAAGATTCACGAATATGTGATTAAATTAATTGCAAGTCACAAGTGTCCAACATATAAACACACATAATGGCTGTCTTATCTTGTCTGTACTTTAGTTGGACACCCTTGAAATGAATGAAAATATAAACAGGAAAGCATCAAGTATGTGAAACCACACTGATTTGGCCAACATTAATG